TTTCATGGCATGCGTCTTCCCCGACAAAAACACCCGCCGGAAGGTGTGAGGAGGGCGGGGGGCAGTCACGGAACCACAGATTGGGTACGGGTGGGGGGTTATGTGGAAAATGCTGGGTAGTTGTTCCTATTATCCACCCTGGCAGAAAACGTGCCTTTCGTGGATTTGAAACAAGGGCAAGGGGTTTAGAGATGAGTGAACAGCAAACTGTTCGGGATCACTCGAACTTGAACACGAGCTGTTCGTCTCCAAAATGTTCGCAAACTGCTGTTCGAAAAAAATCTCGAACAGTTTCGAACAGTACATCTCGCACCCCAGAAAAAAAAACTAACGCAGAATTCTTGGAGCACCACAGTAAGGCCACGGCGCAGAGAGCGGTCCACGATGCAATAGGTTTTGATTCGTCCCGCTTAGGATATTAGGATATCAACTCTCAATCGAAGTTGTACTCCGTTTTAAAGTTTGTTTACATAGTAGAATATTTTTTTTTGGGGGGGAGGGGACAGACAATAGAGCAATGGGGGAAATTGTTACAGATTTGCGCGCAAATTGTTACAGATTTTCCTGATCGTTCGAATTTGGCCCGAGAACTGTTTGGTTTAGTTCGAAAATTTGGGGCTGATTTTGTTCAAGTTTGTATGAATTCAAACTAGCCTGATCGCTTATCTAAAGGGATCCCTCAAGAAACTCCGTTTAACATCATAGACGCTCAGTTAAAAACTTGTACGCTTACTACATTGTAATAATTATATCAACCGGCATTCAGTTTAGCCTGCCGCACTCCGCGCTGCAGGGCCGCCGTAGATGAGGCAAGCCCGTCGGACGCGGGTGCACGGCGGGATAGGCTACCCACCCAACGCTCACTCAGCCCGCCGTTAGGGTGGGCAGGCCCGTGGGACGCAGGTGCACGGCGGGATAGGCTACCCACCCGGCGCTCACTCAGCCCGCCGTTACGGTGGGCAGGCCCGTCGGACGCAGGAGCACGGCGGGATAGGCTACCCACCCGGCGCTCACTCAGCCCGCCGTTAGGGTGGGCAGGCCCGTCGGACGCAGGAGCACGGCGGGATAGGCTACCCACCCGGCGCCCACGCAGCCCGCCGTTACGGTGGGCAGGCCGCCGGCGCGGGTGCACGGCGGGATAGGCTTCCCAACTCTCAGCTCCGCGCAGGTCCGACGTAATGGAGAGCCGCAAACAAGGGTTGCGGGTGTCAAAGGGGAGTAGAATAGAGGAGAGGTGGTGGTTTGGGATGGAATTAGGGAGGAATGCTCCGAGCCGGCAGCTCCACCCGGCGGCATTCCCGCGCGAGCTGCACTGTGGATGTGAATGCTTGGACGTCGGGCCGCGGCGCAGCGTGGCTCCGCGAACTGCGGGGCGGCCACTGAATATACATAATGGAACAGTTCACCATCCTCCGCGACTAGTGACACGGTGGGGCAGGGGAGTAGGGGGGGCGAGACAGTGCGAAAGGGTACGGTCACAAAGTGGCCGGCTCATATGGGTACTGGCGGGCCCGGCCCGTACTTATGGTACGGGAGCACCCACGCCGTGAGCGGGGTGCGCTCCGCCGGCCTCTACCTTTGGCCCCGGAGCACAACTCTTCCTGATTACGGAACTTGTGACCTTGTCCGCCGGCTAACTGCGTTTAATGAAAATGAAGTGGTTCCTTGCCCTCTGCCCCCGCCGTACCCCCGTCCCTCCCCCCGAACGCCCCCAGGCCATACTCCAGCAGTGTTCTCTGCCAGCTGCAGCAGCAGCTCCCTCGTATTTTTATTACTTTCTGTACGATGAGTAAAGGAAGTGTAGTTTTCGCCGGCTCGCACAGTTTCGCTTCTCGGGGTGACGCTAGAGGACGTCGTACTTCCAGCAAAAGACTAACTCGTGTTATTTTCACCCAGTTCCAGTTCGGCGCCAACCCAGAAATGGGCACCAAGCTGAGTGAGCTAAACTGGACATCGCGAACAGTACCCAGTAATTACTCGCCTGCCTCTCTCTCTCTCTCTCTCTCTCTGTCGCCCGAGATGCCTGCCAGACATGCGACAGACCTACCCCGTTCATTAAAGCCCTCCCCAGGCGCTCTATACGTCACACTCAGCGTGCACACAGAAACACCCGCCGCCCAGAAATTTATTTTTACACAGAGCACTGTTAAAACTTTACGAAGAAAAATGCCAAACCCTTCGTAGGTACGAAGGATTTGGCATTTCGCTTCGTAAGGTTTTAACTGTGAGGAAAGAACACTAAAAATGTTAAAAAATGTTTGTTTTGTCATTTGTTTGGTCAATGTAAATGCCCACCCACAAATAGCATAAAGAGATGTATCAGACATCAGGCACTTCTAGACATCGACTCATGACATTGCGAACATTTTACCACAGAATTTGATCCGGGAGAAAAGTTTGTCACCTTCTTGCAAGAGTAGACAGAGTGCTTATTTAAATTAAGTGCTTCCTAAATGCACATTTTTAACTCGAAATAACTGTTATAATTTCATGGCATGCGTCTTCCCCGACAAAAACACCC